TGAAATGGACTGGTATTGGCCATTTTGAATCTAACAATCACATGGTTTTACTACACCTGGAATGACAAATTGAGGAGGAATGATGTCACATTTATCATAAAAGAACATGTCAATATCTGTCTTGAAGTACAACACTGTCTGTGATAGGATGCTATCCATACACCTACAAGGAAAACCAGCTAATACCACTATTATTCAAATTTATGCACTAACCACTAAAGTCAGTGATGATGAAATTGAAGCATTCTATGAGCTTCTTCAGTCTCAAATTGATCAAACATGCAATCAAGATATATTGATAATTACTGGCAATTGGATTGCAAAGGTTGGAAACAAAGAGGAAGGATCAGTAGTTGAAAATACGTCCTTGGTGATAGAACGGATTCAGGAGATGGCATGACAGAATTTTGCAAAATCAATGACTTCTTCATTGCAAATACTTTTTACTTATGATCTTTTATTTTACCATGAGAAGTTTCAGTGCTTTATAATCTGAAATTATATTAATGACATGCAACGAAACACTATTATAAACAAAATGACATATTTTTGGCAATGTATTTGATGCTTTGAATGTAACTGAAAATAGTCTGTATTCATGTATCAAAACAGTTTGCATTTAACAATTGCTACAAAGTTGAAGTTTAGATTCTTACTTAGTGGCAGAAATCTAAGTTATGTTCTGTACAGGGCAGATTTCAAAAGGCAAAGCTAATCCTTATAATACTGAAAGTTTGAGTAAATATAATATATATACTTAGTTGATTACACCAAGTGGAGATGTCTGAGACAGAAAATAAATGTCCCAGGCAGAAATACATCGATCTCAGAAGAATTATAAAGTAGCATAATAATGGACACATAGCACATTCTACCATATCTGTTTTGTCACCCACAACATGCGAGGCAACATGAGACAGACAGAAAACACTAACAAATTGGAAGGTTCTGCCATTTCCTCAGATAACGTGCCATGACATTTTTTGAGGTTCTCAGATAAGACCTGATTGCTCCTTAATCCTTCTCAATTGCCTTTTCAGGTTTATTTTGTACAAAGAATTCATGAGACCTCGTCTTGGAACTTTGATAAAAAAGACTGAACTGTTTAATTGAAACTAACAAATATCTTACACTACTTCATGAGGAAAGAGATAAATATTTATTCTGTTTCCTAGATTTTACATGTAACTGACTGCTAGAAACACTGTTGGAATGAAATAATAAAATCTCTCTGTTCACGTCAAAGCATTGCAGTAGACATGTGTAGAAATATTATCTGAGTTTCCTCTATATACAAAAGTGTGCCAAGAAAGTGCATAAGGATTCCATGCCATTCTAATTTTATAATTAAGAAAATGATTTGTTCATTTTCAGTTTTTGTCTTAATTTATAAAATGATTCATCAGACTGTACTTCTTACATAGCACATGGCATGATCATACAGATAATTTTGTTGCCACGTTCTCTAAAAATAATTATATTTTCTAGCCATTAATAACACCTTTCAATGTATGAGTGGGTACGTAATTTTGGTTTGCTGTTTTTGCTTTCTTGAACAGATGATTTATTATTGCTATCTTTGTGGTTTGTTCCCATGCATTGAATATTTATACTCAAAACCCAAATTTTCAAGGATTCTAAGAGTATTCAACTGTTGTGAGTTAGCATCATGTAGGTTTCATCTCAAAGTAACATTGCCCACTTCTGTGTTGTCTTCATGATTGTTAGTAGGCTTGAGTCCAGTATTGTGGCTATAGTACAATTTAAGTACCAACGAGTCAGTTACAACTCAGCAACTTTGCATAGGGTTCCCAAGGAGTGGCTGGTGGGGTCGAACTGCTGACCTTAAAGTCAACAGTCTAGTGCTTATTCAACAGCGCTATATAATGCAACTTGTTGTTGTTGTTAAGTATTGTAGAATTAATTCTGGCAAAACAAATACCTTTTTTAAACAACATAAAAGATTTCTATACACATGGACCTCACCGGATGGAATACACAGAAATCAAATTAGCTACATCTGTGAAGAGAGAAGGTGGAAAAAGCTCCATTGTTATTGTTGTTAGGTGCCATCGAGTCAGCACTGACTCATAGTGAACCTATGTACAACAGAACGAAACACTGCCCAGTCCTAGGACAACCTCACAATTGTTGCCACACTTAAGCCCATTGTTGCTGCCACTTTGCTCCATATCATCAGCCAAAACAAGAGCCAGAATATGACCTTGAACATATCTCACCTAAATTTAGAAACCATTTCAAGAATAGGTTTGGTTCATTAGACACTAAAGATTGAAGACCAGAAAAGTAGTGGGATAACATCAAGAACATGATACAGGAAGAAAACAAAAGGTCAGATCAACCATCAACACTCATGGAAGCAGCAGTCAATAAATCAAATGACATACTGCATTAGGCAAATCTGATGCACAAGACCTCTTGAAAATGTTCAAGAGTAAAGATGACAGTTTGAGGACTAAGGTGTACCTGACCCAAGCCATGGTATTTTCGATAACCTCATATGCATGTGAAAGTTGGACAGTGACTAAGGAAGACTGTAGAAGAATTGACACATTTGAGCTTTGGTGTTGGAGGCGAATAATAAAAGGACCATCGACTGCCAAAAGAACAAACCAATCTGTGCTGGAAGAAGTATGGACAGAAGGCTCCCTGCAAGCCAGGATGGCCAGACTTTGTCTCTCATACTTCAGACATATTGTCAGGAGGAGTCGGTCCCTGGAGAAGGATGTTATGTTTGGTAAGACTGAGGGTCAGAGAAAAAGAGGAAGACCCCCAACGAGATGGATTGGCAAAGTGGCATTATCAACAGGCTTAAACTTAGCAATGATTATGAGGTTGGAGCAGGACTGAGCAGTGCTTCGTTCTGTTGTTCATAGGGTCACTATGAGTTGATACTAACTCAATGGCACCTAACAACAACAAACAACATAACATGTTGGAAAATTCTGACATTTGGGACATCTATAATCTTCACCTCATAGAGACCAGCCTTATACTGATCTTTCTATTAGAAATTATTCATGCAGTTGATTTGGTATATGTAGGTCTTTGTTTTGTTTTATGTGAGTATTGTTGTTGTTAAGTGCCATCGAGTCACTACTGACTCATAGCAACCCTATGCACAACAGAATGAAACACTGTCGGTCCTGGGCCAACCTCACAATTGTTGCTACGGTTGAGGCCATTGATGCTGCTGTTGTGCCAATCCATCTTGTTGGGGTCTTCCTCTTTTTCTCTGACATTCAACTTTACCAAACATGATATCCTTCTCCAGTGACTGGTCCCTCCTGACAATATGGCTGAAATATGAAAGACGAAGTCTGGTCATGCTGGCTTCCAAGGAGCACTCTGGCTGTACTTCTTCCAATACAGATCTATTTGTTCTTTTGGCAGCTCTTGGCACTT